TTAGTGAGTTAGTAAGTAAAAGGGGAATTTCACCAAAATTTCAAAATTCTGAATTAAGGTTAAGACTTGAACAAAGTCATTCAGAGTGGTTAAATGTAAAATGGTTTATTGTAGAGAAACTTACTTATTTCACACAGATTTCTATACAATGGTGGTGACAGGAACCAGAGGTTGTGATGTCTACTAAAATATTTACATGTGTTTTCTGAGTATTTATGTGTAATGTTGATACTGGTAAACTAGTAATACATTTGAAAAAAAAAAAATTAATTCTTTGGGGACTCTTTTACCTTAGGACACCCTACATGTACCTCTCCACTATGAATGCGTCCTAGACCAAAACCCTCTCAAAACTATTAAAACCTCAGATATCGGGCCCCATATTCATAAACATGTAATAACTTTCTGTTACGTAGCTTTTAGAGGCATTAAACAGTTTGGATGTCTGATTCCTATCATCACCACTATGAACAGTTCTGGCTAAGTTTCTCAAGATTGAAGCATTTCACTTTAAACCACTCTCAATTACTATGTTTACATGTTATCCATTTAATCATGAAGACATTTTGACAAGTCAGTGAAAACCCCTTTAAGTTGTCTAGAAGTTTTTCCAAAAACACATTTTGCTGTGAAGGAACACATTTGCAGGCGGAGCATGCATAGGTCAGTTCTCTACTGCCTTTAGCTCAATGATATGCTAACTGTAGTATTTTAGTCTGTAGCTTTTAACTGTGTTTCCACTGTACCTAACTGTAGTTCAGTCCATAGATTCACTCTTTTTTAACCTTTAACATTCATTCACTGTAAACTGCTAAAATTAAATATTTTCTTTGCGGTACAACCAAAGTGGCAGAGAATATTTAGTGGAATGTACTGTCTTTCAGTAATAATTGTTTCAAAAGTTTCCTTTCACATACTGCAAACAGTATCTGCACAAAGCATTTTTATGTCCCCAAACAAGTGAAGATCTTGAACAAACTAATCCTTGCTGGTGTACATTTACTAGCAAAGACTGTTAATGATTGAAATGGCACCTTCGTTCTTAGCTGATTGTGAGGGATTGAATTGACAATGCTCTTTTAATTACTATAGAGAAGAAAGTGGCTGTGCATGCCTTTTTCCCTTAATTGCTTTTCCCTCAGCTTAGCTGTAATTGGGCCTCCATTGTGTTTATTGATTTAGTTTGATGTGCTTTAATCTGGTTGATGTTATACTGTATATTTATCAGGGGATGGGCGCTGGGTGCAGAACAGCCGTTGGGAAATGTTCGCAAGGCGCAGTAGGTCTGCTGTGTGTGTGGGTGGGTGGGTGTGCGTGTGTAGCAGGATGGATGAGAGGTGCACGGCAGGCGTGCGCTGCAGGGTACAATAGGCCCTTTAAGCCAAGCCACAGGTAGCCCTGCTCAGTACACAGCCCAGTGTCTGAACTCAGATCCACTAGCTTAAGCCCTTAGACCTGCCTCTGCTCACTCCACCTCCTGGCTTTTGTGTCTATAGCCCTGAGCCTGTGTGTTCTGTCAAGGCCATATGTACTAAACCTTTCGTGTCAGGTTTCAGGCTTCAGCTCGTAACCCTTATGGGAAGTTATTGTTTCCCAATTTTTTTTACATCACATTCCTGCAGAATATTTAGGCAGAAAAGAGCTTCATTTAGTTATATTGCAATTTTTTTATTTAAACAGCAGTCTCTTTTTCACTGAGCTTACATTTCCTCTTTTGCGAGTTCCGAGCACTCATTTAACATATGAATATAGTATAAGCAGAAATTGTTTGACTCTATAAGTGGTGTCTGCTTTAACCTAGAAGGCTGGATCCTCTTGATAAACAGAGATAGCACTGAAGAACAGGGAGGAGATGGGGAGGTGATGGGGTGCAAATCGTTTCCACAGGAAATGGTCCTACTTTATATTGTCTCTGATAACTGTTGTTACACATTAACAATACAAACAACACTGTGCCGTGTACTGGCGATGTATTCACTGTTACTGATGGATTAGAGTAGTAGAACTTATGTAAAAACATGTTTCAGCTTCAGTTTCTTAACATAATTACATAATTGTATCTTGATAGTAAAAGCATATTTACACTTATGTAATTACATATATATAAAAGGGTTCCCTGTGTCAAGGGGTTTTTCTAACAAGACTTTTCTGATTGTGACAGGAGGTGTAAAATTACATATATTATGAGATTATTTACACTGCATCTGCATGGGAAATGCAGAGTAGTATGTTTGCACTGTAACATAACCAAAGTTCTGACTGTAAACTATGCTGTAATGTGACAATATTTACACAGCTGGTATGTCCATTTATGTTCAATTTTTTTAATGTAATGAATTAACATCTATTTGTTCTATTATACTGCTCCAAAAGCTGCGTGTAGATTATCAATCTAATCTACCTATGTAACAACTACACAGGAGCTGTCCGTTTTTTTGATACACATTCAGTTCATACACATGTATTTATATAAGCTGTACTGCTATAATCCATCTAGTAGTTACATTGTTGCATATACACCAATCAGGCATAACATTATAACCACCTCCTTGTAGTAACACTGATGTGGTGGTGGTGTGTTAGTGTGTGTTGCACTTGTCTGAGCAGATCAGACACAGCAGTGCTGCTGGAGTTTTTTAAACACCTGTGTCACTGCTGGACTGAGAATAGTCCACCAACCAAAAATATCCAGCCAAAAGCATCCTGTGGGCAGCGTCCTGTGACCACTGATGAAGGACTGGAGGATGACCAACACAAACTGTGCAGCAGCAGATGAGCTATCATCTCTGACTTGACATCTACAAGGTGGACTGACAAGGTAGGAGTGTATAATAGAGTGGACAGTGAGACTGGACACAGTGTTTAAAAACTCCAGCTGCACTGCTGTGTCTGATCCACTCGTACCAGCGCAACACACACTAACACACCACCACCACATCAGTGTTAATGCAGTGCTGAGAAAGATCCACCACCCAAATAGTACCTACTCTGGTCCATGGGGGTCCTGACCACTGAAGAAGAAGGTACAAGGGGGCTAACAAAGTGTGCAGAGAAACAGATGGACTACAGTCTGTAATTGTAGAACTACAAAGTGCACCTATATAGTAAGTGGAGCTGATAAAATGGACAATGAGTGTAGAAACAAGGAGGTGGTCGGTGTATTGTTAATATGTAACTGCACAGTTGTTAGGGACACTTAATATAAAGCGGGACCGTGGATTTATGTATAGGACGTTAAAAAGGAAGGAGGAGGTGCTTGTTTTTTTTACACTTTTTTGTTTTTGTTTTTAAGGGTTTTTTAGTAAAGGCAGTGGCTCTATGTAGAAGCATGAACACTTGAAGACCATTTGAATGCATAAATGTTCCTTTGCACAGGTACATGTTTCGTTATTTGTTGTAGATGGTTCTTTAAAGTTCAATATATCACCAAAAATGGTTCCACTATTGCGACAAGTCAAACAACCTTTTATGGTACTGTATAGAACCATTTTGACTGCGAGTTACCAAACTTGTTAACAGCTATGCCGTTTCACTGTGGGTTTAATGGTCGTTTTACTATACTGTTCAAGGGTGATGTCCCTTATTATTAATAAATATAAGGACTTATATTTACATTTATTTACACCTGTTATGGACAGGTTTGAGTCTGCACCAGCTTTTCTCTGTTTGTTGCAATATCAGCAAGTTACAAAAACATGGCAAAAGCGCTAAAAACATTTCTTCCCACAAAACAAGACAGTATGCACAATAAATTTTCATCAAATTCAAAGAATAAATAATAAAGAATAAATTATCTTAATTTCTACTTACAAACACAAATGTGGCATCGGATGGCAGTTTGGAAGAATTCATGCTTTTTATGACAAGTTTTTATGATAAGTGCTACATCTAAGAGTAAAACACAGTTCCTCATAAGCATAGCATGATAAGTAAGCTGTCCTGTCTGAAGATTACATGATTAACTGCAGCCTTAGTGAATCGAATGTTAATCTCAGTCGCATGGTGAGTGCATATTGCCACTGCATCAAAGCACATTTTGTGTCTTCTCACATACATACATCTGGCCCGCTGTCTCCTCTCTCTTACCTTGTCTACAGGCCAAATGACATCCTGCCTGTTTGTCAGAGAGAAAGGGAGCTTAGTGACAATGGATATACAGTGCACATGGAGGAGCAAGACTATAGCAGATGCTGTCAAAATCAGTTTTCCAGCGCAGTCTAGAACATTGTCAAGAATCTTGTTTCAGTAGACATTGTCAAGCTTTGTTGAATTCCTTGCCTTAGGGTCGGAAGAGAGCTGTCTGTTTATGTGGCTGAGAATGGATTATGTGTTCACAGATAACCTACTGTATTAAATGAAAAGAAAAGTGGTTGTTATTGGAACTGAGAAGAACTCAGAGAAGATTTAGACAGCAGAGTCAGAATGTCGAGTAACATTCTGTAGCATTAGGCAGAGGAGTGGGATAGCTCGTTCATTGAGCCAGATAAGATTACGTGTTTATCAAGAATATTGATGTTCAAGTTTAGTGATATGGACTACAGTACATCTACCAGTAAACAGGTTTTAATGTGTTTGTTTGTAGTTTAAGTGGTTTTGCATAACTTTGGCCACATCCTATTCTTAAACCAACATCTGCTGTTTAGAAGCAACACTCATACACTGCCTGTCAAAAGTTTGTGGACACCTAGTGTTTAAAATGTCTGTTAAATAAGCACTTTGATCAACAGGAAGCTGAGTGCTATATTAGCAAAGCTTTATTAGTTATTGCTTTCTGACTTAACTAAAAAGTAACAAAATAAAGCATTATTTGAAAAAGTTCAAAAGAATACAAGGTTTCCTCACATTTTTGACCGACAGCGGAAGCTTTTCTAATTCACCCTGACACTCTCCAAGTGCTGTGAGGACAGCCCATCAACTGCCGCTGGAATGAATAATCAACAAGTTCACTCTATCTCCATCTCTTTCTTTCTCTAACTCTATCTCTTTCACTGTGTTCTTAGGGAACTTCACTCTGGCTGAGTTGGGGATCTGTGAGCCAGCCCCCCATCAGAACGCCTACTGCCCAGACCTGGGGCTACTACATGGCTACTCTCTGAGCGCTGGCTCTGATGCAGACTCGGACCCAGAGGGCCCTATTTCTCCAGAGAGAGCCATGCAGCTATGGAGCGCCCGAGACATCAAATCCCGCCGTAGTTCTGGCCTGTCTAGCCGTGAGAACTCAGCATTGACCCTCACCGACTCTGAGAACGACAACAAGTCTGATGATGAATCAGGTAGGAAAAAGTGAAGGGGTGAGTGAGTATGTGACTTAGAGAGAAGAGAGAAAGTGTGAGTGAATGCTTGAGGTGCTTGAATCCTTACGGTGTGATTTCGAGAAACTGTGAAAGAGAATTTATACAGAAAAAGTCCTTTAATTTTCATTCTGTGTGTTTCTCAGCTATAAAATAAACAGTGCTGTCTGTCTAAACATCATCTGTGCTGCAGAGCAGCGGCCTTGTCACTAGGGCTGTACGATATTGACATAAAATGTGATGTTTGATAAGGCTATTGGATATCATGATGACATGTGATGTGATAAATTATTATTATTATTATAGTGTGCCTCTGACTGGACTTTTGGATGTGCAAACAGAAATCTAAGTAACCTCTCCTTTAAGTAAATAGAAAAATACAAAATTACAGACTCACTATTCAATGTTGCGCAAAAAAAAGAAATGAAATACTAACAGCTACTTACATCAGATCTGCAAGCATATTTTTAATGCACTGAAAGGCTGAGGAACAGTCAGCATTACTTTAACAGCTTTTTCTATAATGGCTTAAAAGCAAATATGTATTCATTTTTTAATAAAGGCATACAAAATTGAATAAATATTTTTGTTTTTTAATTTGCCTTGCACACTGAAAACACAATAGTGCATGTGAGAACGATGTGTTTTTACAGGCTTGTAGTTCAGGATTGAGTAATTTTTGAGCTGCACATGTATGTTTTTAGCTGTTTAGTGTTACTTGTGCCCAACTTGGGTGAGCAGGATTCAATGCTAGCGCAGAGAATCATTCATCAAGCTTCTAACAGTTAGTGCCAGCAATGTAGTGATGTCTTTCTGCTGTGGTATATAGGTTGTAATTTGATCAGTGCTGTCATTGCAGCTCTTACTGATGTATTTATCACGGAAACTCATATCGTGATAACGATATCCAATGATATCCAGAGCATTATGTGGGTGAGTCTCATCTGAAAGATATCTGGTCCTAATAGGATTTGTATTGGTGCCGATCCTGATCCAGTATTGCATGTGTGCATCACTACTTTTAATGACAGTGCTGCTTGAATATCACGCCACCGTTTAAACAGTCAGCATTAAGGTTCATAATTAAGATAAATAAGTAAGATGTTTAAAAAAGGAAATGAAAAATGTTTGTGTTTAATAAGCTCAATATCACACTGAAAATATGAGAAAAGTGTAACCTTTAATTGTAGTAAGTTTAATCTAAAAAACAAATGCTCATCTATATTTAGAAACCTAGAAATTCGTGTACTTAACCATTTTCGCCATCATTTTTTTTCCAGTTTTTAGGAACTATTTTAGTCATCAGTGACTTCCTGTTTCTCTGGGGTAGGAATATGAGCTGGAATAGAGGCCAGTTTCCTTGGATGATACACAAATGAGGCAAATGTGTATTGACCTTCATAAGGCATACAATGGTTATAAAAAATAGTCCATATTTACTGCTGGGGAAATATATATATTTTTAACCCAAAACACACTGTCTCATTCCTACAGTTATGTGAGGTGGAGGATCTGTGATGTTTTTGGACTGTTTTTCTGGCAAAGGCCAGGAAACCATGATAAGATACATTGAATAATTGAATTGGATTTGAATGAAAAACCAGCTGCCTCTGCTAAAACTTAAAAAGCTGGGTAATGTTTGATTCTTCCAGCAGGACAGCTTTCCCAAACATAGCTCTAATTCCACACAAAAATGGTTCAGTGACCATAGAACCAAGCTTTTGACATGGCCATCCCAGTCCCCGACGTAAACCCCATCGAAAATCTTCAGGATGACCTGAAAAGTAGTGTCCAAATGAGAGGACTTAGGACCCTGGAGGATCTGGATAGACTCTGTATTGACGAGTGGTTTCACATTCAGTGCTCTGTATTGTCTTGTCTCATTAAACATTTTGCCTTTATGTTGGCAAAGGGTAGTTGCACAAAGTGCTAAATACAGGAATGTCAATAATTTTGATGAGATCTTGTTAAAATAATTATTTGATGACTATAGTTTGTATACTATATTTACTTAAATTAAATATTAGATTTTTCCCTAATATTTTGAGCATGAGAGTGAGCTAATTAATCACAAAGACATTTTTTCATGACCTTTTTTCACACGCCTTTATCAAGGGTGCCAACAATTGTGGAGCTTACTGTAGTGACACTGCCAGACAAACAGCATGTGACATTTTAAGATATAACAAGTAAGAGTCAAGCTGCCTCACAGAAGGCGTTCTTATCAAGTAGCACATGTTGAGGCTCTTTTTCTTAAAATGTTACCCGCACTACGCATCTGTTTCGTTCAGTTCTGTGGCTGCCGCCTCCGTTTCCCCCTCTGGTGTTTTCCCTGGCAATGCTTCTGCAGCACGTTCTCTAATTCTTCGCTTCCTCGTTAATTCGGTGTCATCATAAACCGCTGCATGGTTTGCGGGAGGTGTCAAACGAGGTTAATGAAAAGACAAAAAACCCCGCCTAATTAGCAACTACACAACTGTAGCAGTCCCGCAACAGATCTGTCAGCTGTGAACTCCAACATCAGACAAACTCGCGCTGACAATTTATCAAACTCCTCAACAGCTATTGAACGCATAAAGAAACACCTTGGAAGAGAAGTCGCTTTCATCTCGCCAGCTGATAATTGCTTCTCAGCTAATTGCCATGCTAATCTCCCAGCCACGGTTTGTTAGCATTATTCTCGGTTTTATGGCACAGGACAGCGCAAGGACACCGGATGTGCTGGCCGCCACACTTTCCAGCTTTTGGAACAGAAGGCTTTGCACTGAAGAAGGTGTACTGAGCAGAATCTCATTTAATAGAACATTTTTCACGAAAACTTGTATCAGAAATGCTCTCTCTCATTATGCTATATATGCAGCATTGTGTATTTGATGTGGAAAGAACCCACTCAACTAGAGTAAACGACGCAGAAAGATGAAAGGACTTTTTGCTCTACTAGCATATAATTGAAGTTGTTTTGTTACATTATGAGCTCTGAATTGTATCAACTGATCAATCTATTCGCATGTCTGTAATCCAATATATACCAAAGAGAATGCTTTAGTAAGTCGGTTCAAGAGCAGCACTAATTGTCTAAATTAGCTACCTCACTGAAGGGAAATACACTTTGAGTGGATGTTTTCTCACAAGGAAGAAAGGAAATATATTCAGAATGAAAGTGAATGAATCTGCCTTTCCTTCTTTCTTTTTCAAAGGCACTAGAAGCTCTATCTCCCTCTCTCATCTTTTCTTCTTGGCTTATTTTCCTCTGTGTATGGAGATGCAAAAGCTCACTCTCTCTCACTCTGTCATCTCTCACTCTCGCCTCATTATGGATGTGTCGGCACCGCCAGTCATGTTGAGTGACAGGTGTCACTCATGGAGGCCTCGGGATATGATAGCCTGAATGGGGTCAAGTTGAAATTTCCAGCCATTATCTCTCGTTTTCCTGCGCGCTCTATGGCCTGGAGACAGCTTTGAAGCCCACCAGTGGCGTTTGACCAAAAAAAAAAAAGAAAAAGAAAAAACATCATTTGAACATTTCAGAATTGGGGTCTAGAGATGGGTTTAACTGAAGACCCCCCTTTGGGTGCCTGATCATAGGTTTTTGAGACATAAAAGCCCCATCTGCTATTTTTGATTTGTTTTTTTTCTTCTATTAAGCTCCTTATAGAACTTCTTTCCCTCTGCCGGTCAGCAAAGCATTATCCTGCACTTGATTTCAATCAAAAGAAACTCCACTATCGACATATCTCTACAACATGCTGTCTGATTTCAATCAAAACGCATGCAGCCTCAGATACATACATTTCTCTGGAAACAAAAGCAGGCAGATAAAATGAGCCCTTCGTGCAGAGTGGCCCCTGGAGCAGCTCCAGCTTGCTTTAAGGGGGAAAGACAAGTCAATAACAAATTAAAGAGTGTGTTACCGCTGGCGAACGATGAAACAAACTCTCTTTCTGATTCTTGCCTCTTTATCGATGGCGCTCTTCTCCGAGTGTATTTCTGGCTCTTGTGCCCTCTGGCGTGGTGAGAGTGAAGGGTGAGTGGAGGTTGGTAATGAGGCCTTGTGTCCAGTTGATTGTCTAATTAAGCAGCCTGGGCACTGGCTCTGTTGGCCCTCTCTCCGGAGCTGCCAGCTACTGAGTGATTGATTAAAGCCCACTATTCCTCCCAGTCCAGTGAGTCAGCTGTCCTTACCTAGCATTGGCACCACCACAACTGTCCCAGACACTGCTGTCCCAGGTCCTGCTGCTTTGCTCTCTACCTCAAACTGTGTCCTGTCTCTCTGCAGCCCTGACTCTACACCAAGACCCCATGTTGCACTTTAATGACTCTGAGCCATGACTTTTGCATATCGTTAGTGTCCTAAAAAGACCTTCTATCTCTGAAGAAGTAACTTATTAGGACAAAAACAAAATGTTCTTAACATCTGTTAATGTAACTTAAACCTTTAAACTGCAGTTCCTCACTTCCCTGACTGCATAACTTATATATTAGTAGTTACTTGAATAATTGTAAGTAGTTACTATATAATAAGTTTCTTAAAAATAAAGATGCCAAACAGGATTCTTTGGAGCAATGCTATAGAAAAAACACTTTTGGTTCCTTAAAGCAGTGTTTTCCAACCCTGTCCTGCACATTTTAATGCTTTTCCTGCTTTAACACACTCACTTTAGGGGTTGTTAATCAGCTGATTAGTTTGATCATTAAAGTTTAAAGACTCCACATAATGTAAAGTTTCTAAACCAATTAAAAGTTTTAGTAGAACACTACATTTAGGTAATGTTTTTCTAGAACCCTTTAGGAATGTTTAAAGGAGCAGTGTGTAAGATTTAGTGGCATCTAGCGTTGAGGTTGCAGATTGCAACCAACCGAATACTCCTCCCTCACCCCTCCTTTTCCAAGCATGTAGTAGAACTTACTGTGGCTGTCAGGCAACTGGTAGGCTAAATTACCTGTCCAGCAGAAAATGGACAACTTTGGCATCACTCTGAAAA